GAACCCGCCACCTTAGGTGTATGTGGCTGGCGCCTTAGCCGCTTGAGCCACAGGCGCTGAGCCAGCATTCCTTTTGAGAAGGGAAGAGATGTCAATGCTCCTGGTCCATGGCCTTGACCTGGCCTCTCCCCCACCCTGTGATCCCAGCATGTGCTACAAGGCAGACTGAAGGGGGCAATGATCACCTCAGAGCTGGAGAAGCTCAGGTCCCCCCAGAGCACCATGCCGGTTGCCCCCAATGCTGCACTCACATCAATGGTCCACACGAGGTCATCCTAGAGGTAGAGAGCTGCTAAGCCAGATCCATGTAGGCCTACTTCCACCTTCCAGAGACTCTTCTGGTTCACTGCCATGATCTGATTCTATCTCTACAATAGGGCTCCTTTGTATTAAACCTCTTAAGTGGCTTCTCTGGACCTCCATTCAGAATGTCTCCCTTCAGACCAGGGGTCCAAAGGCTTGATCTTGCCTTATTCCTCAATATCTTTCAGAGTAGAGCTATGCCTTCCTTGTCTGATGCTTTAAGACAAGGCCTTCCCCTCAGAACCCTTCAATCAGGACTTCCTCCTCAAGTCCCCTTCAGCCAGGTCCTCTCCTCAATCCTTCCTAGGATAGGGCAATACCTCCCCACTCAGATCCCTAGACCTCGGCTTCCACTTACCTGGGACAGAAACCTCCCAGAGCTCTGGTGTGTTAAGCGGGCATAGGCCAGGACAGGCAGGGGATGTGGGTGACCAGCAAGGGCCACACGGAAGGTCTCCTCCAGGCGGTGTTGGACAAAGGTCTAGTAGTGGTAGGTGGCAGCTTGGGTGGGAGGTAAATGCTGGGGAAGAGGGCACTGGAGGCAGCCCAGAGCCAATGTAGCTCAGTGTTGCGGGCAAGGGTGGCTCCATGGCAGTGGCCCGTGTAGTTGGAAGCCATACTGTGCCAGCCATTGCCACAGGCTGGATAACAATAGAAGCCCCAGAGCCCGTGGGGCTGCAGTGCCTGACCCAGCCACAGCGTTTCCTCCATCAGTGCATGGGCTGCCTGCTCAAAGCCAATATGAGCCTTGTGGAGCTGCTCCTGAGGATCTAGGTTGGGGAACATTCGTTGTGCCCAAGTCCAGGAGGCTGCCTGATAGGCTCGATGGTGGCCCCAGTTTCCTGTCCACAGTGGATACCACTCTTCCCAGTCCAGCACTGCCAGGCCAGCAAAGCTGGGTTGCAGGCTACAGTGGATCTGGTTGGTAGCCTGTGTCAGGTGATGGTCAAAGGGCACAGCCTGGGGGATGCCCCCATTGTGAGCTGTGTTCCTGGGCCCAAGGTAGGGATAGAGGCCAAGATGGTTCTTGTAGAAGATGGTGATGTTCTGGCCATAGAAATGTTGGCCGTGATTGCCTATGATGCCCAGGGCACTGAGCGGAAGGTGCACACCAAAGTGAGTGTGGGCCTGAGAGTACATTCCACAGCACAGAGAAGGGGTGTTCAGGTGCCTGCAGCAGAGGCTGGCCATACCCCAGGCACGGGGCCACTCCTAATACTAAGGCTGGGCCTAGCTGCATGGTCATGCCCCAGGGATGGAAACCTGTAGGAGAGAGGGGGTTTAAGCTTAGAGCTCATGGCCATGGCCACACCATCCATGCAGCAAGAAAAGTTGGCGGAGCCCCCCTCCCCCAGCTCGTCCCCATTGGGATGGGGAGCTGGGAAAATCATGGCTCCCCAGGGGACCCATAGGCATCTCAGGGTGGCTACATCCCTAGCTGGCCTGGCTAGCTCCCCTCCTACATTCTCAATCTTTGTCAAGACACCACTGTGTCCTCTGACAACGCCCTCACCTATAGCTGTCACAAGTCCCCTTCTTTCCTCTCCCCCAAGAATCTTCAGCTCCCACATCCTTGCCTGCCTGGCTTAATTCCTACCAGCACTCAAGTCTCTGTTAGGCCATCACCTACTCTGGGAGGTCTCCTGGATCCCCAGGAGGAGTGAGGGCACTTGGGCTCCTGAAGCCTCTGAATTTCCCTTATTCCAGTGTGGATCTTGCTACTGTATACCTGTTTGTCCTCTATCTGTCCCTTTGGTTAGAGACTCTACCTGTTCAGTTCTCCATTGCTTATCCCCCACCCAGAGTTTGACAAACAACAGCTGCTCAGTGAATGACAATGAGTAAATGGGGACCAGAACAGCCACTCTGTCCCCTGAGCCTGGCAGGGAGGGAGGGGCAAAGAACAGGTGTTCTCTCCTCAGTGACCCCAGGGCCAAGGTGAATCTGAAGATTCTGCAGAAATAGGGGACCTGAGAGATGAGGGTTGGGGGTCAACAAATAAACTGTCACAGCCACAGCCACACCCACCAGAAGCCTTTATTCAGCCACACTGATGCCTCTAAGCCAGAGCTATGGAGCCACCTCCTTGACCCCCACTGGTACCCATAAAACAAACCCAGGCTAAAGTTGCCCCCAGGAGCTAGAGACCAAGGTATCACCAGTGGGCTGAGGCCAGTTCTGTCCCACAAAGTCCACTGACACAGAGCAGCACAGTCCTTTGCCCTGGGTGGCCCTCAGATGTCTTTCTCCATCCAGAAGATGGGGCATCCCCTCAGGTTTTGGTATTTTGTCACCAGCAGGCTTTTTCGAGGGTTGCCTGATGGAGTTGGGAGTGAGGTGGTCAGGGGCTCAGGCAGGGGAGGGGGTGGTGGTAATGGAGGTCCCTTGGGGTCCATTGGGGCAACTTGGGCAGTCAAGTTTGGGGCCCTGCAGGGTAGCCAGGGAGAAGGGGCCCTGGGGAAGGCACTAAGCAGGGTGGTGGGCAGATGTCGACTAGTGAAGACCAGGCCCTGCACAGGCTCACCCAGCTGGTAGCCCAGGTGAGCATAGAAGTGCATCTGGTCATGGGTGGTAAGATGTAGCTTATGGAAGCCACGGGCCTGAGCAAAGACCTCTAGGCCCTCCATGAGGCGGCGGCCAAAGCCACGGCCCCTTAGGGCCCGGGCCACCACCACTGTCTCCACTAAAAGGCTCTGGGGCCTGCCTAGCACCCGTGACAGGCGGGCATGGCCTACCACAATGGGTGCTGCTTCATGTGCGGGGCAAGGGCTCAGCAGCATCAGGCAGAGAGGGAAGGCCTCTGAGGACTGGCCCAGGGAGTGCAGGCGGGAGGCACGGCTACGGGGCCACTGCTCATTGATGAGGTCAGCACAAGCGTCCAAGAGCTCTGGTCGGCAGTGCACAGGCTCCAGGGTCAACTCAGCCAGGTTGGGGATTGGGGTCTCCTCAGGATCAAGGTTAAGTTCAGCTAGGCCAGGACGGAGGGTCATCTCTGTTTGGCTTGTGGAATCCGGTGTCAGCTCAGCTAGCTGGGTGCTCAGGGTCAGCTCTGAGTGGTGTGCTGGATCCAGGGTTAGCTTGTTTAGGCTGGATCTCAGGGTCAACTCTGGCTGGCATGCTGGATCCAGAGTCAGCTCAGCTGGGCTGGTATTCAGGATCACCTCCATCTGGTGTGTAGGCACTAGGGTAGGGGTCAGCTTGGCTTTGTCAGGGCTCAGAGTCAGCTCTTGCCTATAGGTAGGATCCAGGCTCAGATGAGTCAGGCTGGGACCCAAGGTCACCTCCTATTAGGTTGCAGGTGGCTCAGTGCCAGGCTGGAGGTTAGGACCACAGTCTCCAAGCAGTGGCATCTCCTCAGATCACAAGGGCTCTCCTCCTGTAGACAACAGCCATGCTGGGCTGTGCCAGGAGGGGAAGATGGGTTGGGGACAGGGAGGGACTGACAGAGGACAAGTGGGGCCATTCATCTTGGAACTGGTGAGTGGTGGGCTATACCTTCTTCAAACTCACCTAATAACACGGGTAACCTGTAATAGACCCATAGTCTATACCAGGGATAGGGAAGAGCAGGACAGATGGATCCAGGAGTCCTGACTCACACTGGATACTGGGTGAAATGATGAGCCACTAAAGGCTGGGAATCCTGGCCCCAGCCTGCTCTGGCTACAAATTTGTCCTCTCTAGGACCACACTGTGTCAAGACAGCCAGCCCAGCTTACTTGTTGGCCATCCTGTCTCTAGTAACCCACAACCATGGCATTGGACAGAACATGCAAACCAGATACCACATGCCCTGTGTACGCCCATCCAAGGTTCCCGTCAGAGGAAGCACTGCCCCCAGAAATTCCCCTGTCCCTTTCTTCTCCTTACATCCCAGCTCTCCCCCAGCTCCTGGCCTTTTCTACCCCCTGGGCTATGCCTACTACCTAGCTAATCCTTTTTTGTTTTAAGAGACAGAGTCTCACTTTGTCGCCCTTGGTAGAGTGTTGTGGCATCACAGCTCACAGCAACCTCCAACTCCTGGGCTTAGGCGGTTCTCCTGCCTCAGCCTCCTGAGTAGCTGGGACTACAGGCACTCGCCATAATGCCTGGCTATTTTGTTGTTGTTGCAGTTTGGCTGGGGCCAGGTTTGAACCTGCCACCCTCGGTATATGGGGCTGGCACCCTACTCACTGAGCCACAGGCACCTCCCAAAAATCCTTTTTTTTTTTTTTTTTTTTGAGATAGAGTCTCACTAGGTTGCCCTCACAGCTCACAGCAACCTCAAACTCTTGAGCTTAAACAATTCCCTTGCCTCAGCCTCCCAAATAGCTGGGACTACAAACCTAGCTAATCCTGGAGCCCCACTTACCTGCTCTGCAGACTCAACTTTCCCTTTCCTTGACTGCCTACTCTGCTTGGGGTGCAGAGCCCATCCCTTGGTCCCAATTCTGCTCACCTCAAAACACTTTGGGTATGGACCCAATTGTCCCCTTACATGTGACCCCAACAGCACCAGCCCTAGGCCTGGCCCAAAGTCACACAGCAGTGTTGCCTTTGCAGGACTGGTTCCCAACTGGCCTGAGTTTCTAAGCGACTGTAAAGACCACAGCTTCCTTCCTATATCCACAGTGGTGTTCAACGGTCATTTAGTTGGGGGCCCAGACTTGTGCCCAAATCCCAGTTTGCCCACGTTAACCAAGGTCCCGCTGGCTGGAGAATCTATGCTGGAAGATTTCTTGGGGTGGGCGGGCAGCTCGGCCCTACTCTTCTGTTCACCTGCTCCAGAGGGGGCCTCCAAGTTCTCCTTCCCCACCTCCGCTGAGCTTGAGGCCCATTCAACACTGGTCAGTAACAGGCAAGCCTCTCCCTTCACACCACATCCCATTCGCAGAGCTGTAAGTCCCTCACCTGCAACAGCCGCCTCTGTATCAGTTGCACCTCTATATCTGAAGGGCTGAAGACCCAAGACCCGCACCTAGGCCTGGAGTCCGGGGCTTTCTGTCCGGCTTAACCCTTCAGTGCCGACCCCACCCACTACGGGCGTGGCGAGGCTCCAGAATGCTTAGAGAGAGGCTGTATTATGTTTCCAGTGCCTCGCTTTCCCCTTCCCTCCTAGTGGGTCACAGACCGTGGAGCTTTTGGGGACCGGGGCTTCGAAAGCTAGACTCTGTGAGGGGGTGTGGATCGGCATGCTCTAGGTGGGAACGACCGACACAGAGAGGGCGTGCAAAGTTGCACAACCACTCCGGGACCGCACGCGCGGGGAGGAGGTACAAACACAGTGTGGGGAGGGGGCGGTACTGACATGTTGACGCTCGCCTCTGGGAAGTTCCGCGTCCTCGCTCCGCACGGATTGGTAACTCGCTCTGTTTCTGGCTCGGACTCCTTGGTCCGCCAGCGCCGGCCCCCAGTGGTGCGGCGGACGAACTGCAGCGGTCGCATGCCGCAGAGAACCACCAGGTCCTAAGTCTACAGGGGCTGCCAGGCTCCTCCCCGGCTTCCTGCCTAGGCCCCGCCCCTGGCTGTGCGCGTCACAAGACTTAACAGGAACAGAATAAGTATCTGCCTTGGCTCCGCCTCCGTCCCGCCCGCTCCTGCTGAGCCCGCCTACACCTTCAGGCTTCACCTCCCCCCAACCACCCGCGCCCTATACAGGCCCCGCCTCTAGCTCAAGCCTGCCTCTACGCGGCTAGATTGAGGCCCTGCTGGAGTCAGACGCAGGCCCCTCCTACAGTTGGTCAGCTTCCGCCTATCTCCGCCCAGGCTCTGATGGGTCGTTTCTGCTGTTGCCTATTTCCTTTACCCATAGTCTGGAAGTGGTCAGATCACATGGAGCTTTCTCCTGTAATTGGACCCCATCCTAGAAAGCAGATGTCTTTTCACAGACATCTGACCTGGGTGGGAGAGACGAACCTTTACTATGCTCTCTGGATACCAGATCCGGGACATTTTAGGCACTCCATAAACAGCTAGGTAAATCATGACTACTTTATTTGCTGGATGGGTGCTGTCAGCGGATTAAGGGGTCTTGCCGAGCTAGTTATTATCAAACACTCAGAAGGAGTACAAGGGTTCTATCTCAGGCAGAGTTCAAGCAGCTTGTGTTTGAATCTCAGCTTCTCCCTTCTCCAACCTTCAGTAAAGTGCTTACCCTCCTTGCGAGTACCTCAGTTTACTCATATAGCTTTAGTGTAAGGATTAAGTGAATTAGTCTACTTAAAATGCTTAGCACAGGGTTTGGCAAAGAGTAGGTGCTCAGTGAATGTTAGCTTTTGTAATTGCTGCAGTTCAAAGGCTCGTTCGGTGTCTCTGGAGGAATTTGACCCTGCCATGTAGATGCATATGGACATGAAGCAGATGGTGTCTATCCATGTTTCTAACTCCTGTGCAACTCTATGGGTGCAGGGCATATGCCCAGGACAGTGCCTGAGTATATTTCTGACTATGACCACGACTTGTTTGACTGTGCCTATATTTAAGCAAGCTGTGGCAAGGCCCAGAGTGCATTTAGTGCTTGATGTGTGCAACCCAATGTGTGGCCAATCACCATGTGCTCTGCTGTTGACACCATGCTCCCTGCCAGCCATGGTAGCAGTGACATTTGAACTCCATAGCCATCTGTGCCCTATCCTCAAGTGAGAGGGCTCCCTGCAGGGTCAGGGGCCTGCCACCAGGCTTGAGCTGAATGGAGAAACTGGCAGGGTTGAGTAGGAGGAGAGCCTCAGGGTGGCTGGGACGGCGGACACAGCGGCCATGGCCAGAACACAGAGCTTGACTACAGAGAAGAGCCCCACTGGTCACGTTCAGGATGAAGGGCCCCAGTGTGGTGTCCACATACTTCTTGATGGCCTGGCATGATTCCTGGACAGAAGAAAGAGTGTCAGAGACTGCATTGCCTAGGACATTGAGGCACTCACCTGCTGGCCAGTCAGGAGTTTGGAGGTAGAAAGGGTGAGCCAGGGTCTCCCCAATCAGCTTGTTGGCCTCTCCCACCCTATCCCCACCCCCGGCCTAAGCTCACCTTGGTTCTTGTGTTTTCCCAGCTCACCCAAAGCACCACTCCTGCTGCCCCCTGGGCCGCACTCTCCCCCAGGCTGTGCTCCAGCTCATCCTGGGAAGGAGACAGCACAGCTCTGTGGTGCCTCCCTCCATTTCTTCCTTCCCACTTGAAGCAGATTGCTGTAATACCACTGGACGGAACAAATAATTTGTAACATTCACCTGGGGCTGCTCTGGCCCCAGTGGCAAAAAACAAAGAGACAAGCTTGTCTCCCTTTAGCCTATGGGAGATTACATCTTTTTTGTTGTTGTTGTTTTGAGACCAAATCTCACTATGTTGCCCTTGGTAGAATGACATGGCGTCATAGCTCACAGCAACCTCTAACTCTTGGGTTTCAGTGATTCTCTTGCCTCAGCCTTCCAAGTAGCTGAAAATACAGGTGCCTGCCACAACGCCCAGCTATTTTTTGTTGAAGTTGCCATTGTTGTTTAGCTGGCCTGGGCTGGGCTCAAACCTGCCAGACTCGCTGTATGTGGCTAGTGCCATAATCACTGTGCTACAGGCACCAAGCCTTTTTCTTTGAGACAGAGTCTCACTTTGTCACCGTTGGTAGAATGCAGTGGTGTCATAGCTCACAGCAACCTCAAATTCTAGGGCTCAAGGGATTCTCTTGCCTTGGCCTCCCAAGTAGCTGGGACTACAGGCACCTGCCACAATGCCAGGCTATTTTTTTATTTTTATTTTTTTTGCAATTTTTGGCCAGGGCTGGGTTTGGGGCATATGGGTCCTGCGCCCTACTCCTTTGAGCCACAGGCACTGCCCGAGGCTATTTTTTTGAGATGAGGTTTCACTCTGGCTTAGGCTAGTATGGAACCCATGAGCTGGGGCAATCCACCTGCCTCAGCCTCCCAAGTGCTAGAATTACAGGCATGAACCACCATGCCAACCCTCTTTTTTTTCCTCCAAGAGTCCTCCTTGGCAGTTCCCATAGCTCAGTGGGTAGGGTGCCGGCCACATACCCTGAGGCTCACAGTTTGAACCCGGCCTGGGCCTGCTAAAACAACAATGACAACTACAACAAGAAAATAGCTGGGCGTTGTGGCAGGTGCCTGTAATCCCAGCTACTTGGGAGGCTGAGGCAATAGAATCACTTAAGCCCAAGAGTTTGAGGTTGCTGTGAGCTGTGACACCACAGCACTCTAGAGCTCACAGCTCACAGCACTCTACCAAGGCAACTTAGTGAGACTCTGCCTCAAAAAAAAAAAAAAAGTCCTTCTTTGTTGCCCAGGTTCAAATTCCTGGCCTAAAGCACTCTTCCTGACTGGGCTTCCCAAATTGCTGGGATGATAGGCGTGAGCCACCATATGGAGCCTACATCTTTCTAGTAAATGCTGAATTGCCTGGGCCTAGCACAGAACTTGGCACAAAATAGATGTTCAATGAAAATGAGAATTAGAGCGGGACACAGTGGCTCACTGCTATAATCCTAGCACCCTGGGAGGCCGAGGCGGGTAGATTGCCTGAGCTCACAGGTTTGAGACTAGCCTGAGCAAGAGGAGACCCCTACCTCTAAAAATAGCCAGGTGTTGTGGTGGGCACCTATAGTCCCAGCTATTTGGGAGGCGAAAGAGAGAGAATTGCTTAAGCCCAAGAGTTTGAGGTTACTGTAAGCTATGATGGCCCAGTGCTTTACTGAGGGTGTCATAGTGAGACTTTGTCTCAAAAAAAAAAAAAAAAAAGAAAGAAAGAAAATGAAAATTAATGGAAGAAAATGTCCCAAGTCTAAAGTACCCCAAAGTTGTGTGGCCTCAGTTACTGGCCCTAATGCTGAACAAGGCAGGCTGACAAGGTGGGTAAGGTAACAGAAGACTCACCAAGGGCAGAGAGTAGTTTGTTGTGTCATAGAAGATCTGAGCATAGGGTAGCACTGGCAGATTGGGGTCCCTGGCAGCCACAGCCACACGAAATGCCTCACCTACCCGGTGCCGCACATACATCTGTGCCTTCCCTGTGCCCTCCAGTGCTGCAGGCATGTAGATACTGGGATAGAGGGCACGACTGTGGCGCCATAGCCACCCTAGCTGGTCGTTCTGGTCCTGGATGCCTGGTGGGCACTGGCCAGTGTAGTTTGGGCTTAAAAAGTCATAATTGTAGCAGTCAGGGAAGCCATAGAAGCCCCAGAGACCAAGAGGACGCAGTGCCCACCCGAGCTGGAGGGTGCCTGCCATCCAGGCCTGTGCAGCCCCCTGGAACTGGTCCTGTGCTGCTGCCTCCACCCAGGGAGCTGGCCAGTCAGGGTGCTGTGCCTGTACCAGTGCCCGTGAACGCTGTCTGTAAATGTCTTTGGTATCCCAGTTGAAGGCCCAGCGTGGGCGCCATGCCTCCCAGTCGATGACTGCCAGCCCTGAGAAATCAGGGGCAGGCATGGCAGCCAGGATGTCCTGGAATGTGTGGGCCAGATGGGCATCCAGGCTGGCATTCTGGGGCAGGCCACCAAACACAGGCTCCCCAGCAGGTGTGTAGTATGGGTAGGTGCCCAGCTGGGAACTGTAGAAAACTGTCATGTCAGGGCCACGGAAAGTCTGCCCCGGGTTGACTACCACATCAAAGACACTGACATCCACGTCCACACCATGCTTCTCCAGGCACCACTGGGTGTTTGCATTCCAGATGGTAGTAAAGGGCTTGTTAGGTACCACGGGGCCTCTGGATCCTTGAGCCATGACGAGTGAGGTCAGGAAGAGGGTGCAGATGCAAAGCAGGTGGGCTGCCATGTCATGGGGCAAGTCCAGGAAAACCTGGCCAGAGGAGGCAGTGCTGAGAGCAGGCCAAGAACTCTCTGGCCCTTGTTCATTATTTCCACCTTGCTCTGGTTTCAGTTAAACATTGACCTGCAAGGCTGTAGGAGGGAGCTGGGGGAAGGGGCGGTGGGGGTGAAGGAATACAGGTGGCAGAGGAGAGGTGTGGAGGGGAGCACAGCTACTGGGCCTGGCCTCTGCCATCTGCCTCCCACAAGTCTTATTCTGGCCTAAGTTTGCCTTCCCCAAGAGCCACTGAAGCCCTGACTTCTGTTCTTGGAGGAGTGGCTGAAAGTCCAGCCCTTTGCCTCCAGGCTGTCCTAAATGACTGGGCTTGGAGTCATTTAGGAGTAGGGTGGGGAAGCCTTTCTCGACTCTTTCTCCGGAAATCCTGGCTGCCCATTGGAGGAAGGGATGATCAGTGAGCAAGGACAGGTCAGCACAGCCCTCCTATACCCACTAGTCTGCCCACTTGTCCCTGCTGACCTCAGGGCTGAAGGAACTGGTCCTGCAAGCTTCCTGACCCCAGGGTGGGGGCTTAGGCAGGGCCCAGTAAGATTCCGTCCGCAACTCTGATCCCAAATGCAGGAGAGACTGTTGGAGGAAGAAGCTGCTGCTGCTGGAAATTCTGAGCTTTTGTAGGGGGTCGCCCCACCCAGTCCAGGGGCAGGCCAAGGGGCGGGTCTGCAGATCAAGAGACCAGGCAGCAAGGCTACCTCTGAATCCCTAGCAAAGGGATATTGGTGGGTGGTAAGGCTGGGTCAGCAGAGGCCCCTCCCATTCAGCACTAAGGCAGGGCTTCCTGGCTTTACTGGGGCTGGAGGGAGTGAGTGGTGGCAGACTCAGCTGGGCAGGCCTGTTTGTGGTACTGGAATGCCTCAAGACTGTGTACTCAAGGAATATGCTTTCCCCACATGATTGAATTATGTCCTAGGTACTTTTGCCTTTGGGTACTCCTTCCTTTTTTTTTTTTTTTTTTTTTTTT